GGTGTAACTTCATCACTCAGTCAGTCAGCAACATTTGCGTTCATAGGGTTGGCGCTGCTGTTATGGTCCAGTCAAAAAGTCTTCCTCTCAAGCCTTAACTTCAGGTGGTGATCATTTTAATCATAACTGCATTGCATGTAGGTGCATATGAGTAAGATATGAGCAAGACATAAAAACAAAAGAAGAGTTTATGGGGAACCTGTATGACTCATGTATTATGTTAATTAAGTGTATTTTTTAAGTTTGTCTGATGATTAATCATGACAAAAGTCTAAGTCACGCTGGGTTTATCGACTGCTTGCTATGTGTCATAGTTTACTTCAAGTAAAATGTTACCCATTTTACCCTTTTCTGGGAAATCCGGCACTGATTAACATTTTGCAATCGTTATTTCGAACTCTTAGTTAACATGATTAGTTCGTTTTTTATTGCCTCGACGGGGCCCCCTGCCTGCACAATGTGTTTGTGTCTGCAATAAAATCTCAAATGATATTGATGTTTGTTAGTGGGTCAGAGTTCAGCTGTGTTACCGTCAAACAATCAGACACGACCCCCACAGTGCCAGTTAAATTTGAGTAATGTTTATGTTCTCCACCCCCCTGTGGCACCATTCTGAAATCTCCCACCCAGAACCTGCCCTTTTCTCTTTGGAGACTCACCATGGGAGGCGTCTGTGTTCACTGTCCCTATTATATACGCACAAACACTAGTCCCCTAGATACTCCTACTCTCCCCCAAATGTCCCTCCCCTCCTGTGTTAATGTTACATAAGAAGCCACTTGCTGAACAGACATGCTGGGTGTTTGCTGCCAGTGACAGATTCCAGTAAGGTCCTGCAGTCACACATAAACACAGGCTCAAATGAAGACATGTATTCTGTTACTGTAACCACAAAGCCTCTGGGGGGATTCATTATTCATCAGCATGTTATCGTGCTATATCCACCAAGATGCCACGGGTCATTTAATTCAGTTTACTGCCACTGATGATGAAACAGCTGTTATTTTTCTTTCCACGTCATGCGACCAACACATTTCTTTTTCATTGCTGCTTAATGGAAATGTTAGATTTCCCTCTCATGAACTGAATCACATCTTTCTCTCATATTCCTCATATCAGTATTTTTCTGTTGGGTCGTATGATCGAATGTGAACTCAGGGGTCAAAGTCTCAACAAAACTGTGAACCGTCTTCTGATAAAAATGGTTTCTGCTTACCTCAAGAAGTGAACATTGATATCGTCTGGGATATCTGGGACATGTGCAGATTACACAAGAATAACAGCAAACAGCAGCTGAGGCATTTCCAAAACACTGTATCCATATTAGAGAAAGGCAAACATCCCATAACCTGACATCAGTCATTCAGTATCTCTGAATTACAGATGATTTTGTGTGTACAGATGCTGTCATTTTGTCTTCTTACATTACTCACTGTTTACTGTTCAGATCACCCGCTGCAAACATCACTGTTTACTAAAAGGTGAGCCATCAGCTCAGTTGTACAAGAACCACAGATGATTTGGATAAGATTCTGCTGAACACCTGTGAACACGTGTCCTTACTTCATGGAAAGGAACATGGAAAAACCATAAAAGGCTGAAGAAAAATTAAGATATTCTTGCTGCCATTAAAGGACTGGTTCAACATCTGAGAAATACACTTCTTCACTTGAGAAGACTGATACCACTCCTGTATCTGTCTGTTACATATGAAGCTAGAGCCAACAGCTGATTAACTTAGCTTTGGGAAACAGCTGCACTAACTCTGTCCACAGCTTATGAAATACAAATTTAACCTAATAAAAATAGAGTCAAAGCGATCGCTGAAGCAAACCAACGACCCAGGACATTTATAACTTTGACACAGTAATGTACATTTTCCATATACAATGTGGGGAACTCCCCATGTCTGTTCTTCACATTCAACACAAACTGTAGCTTCATATTTAAAGGACAGAAGTGAGAGTGGTATCGATCTTCTCATATAAGAGAAACAGGACTATGTTTGTTACATGTTGGGTGTTAATTGGTCTTCTTTAAGTCCAAAATTTAGTGTGCAGGACAAAAAAACTTTAATCAAGAGTGAACCTGTGATTTTCAAGGTAGACTTTAGACTGACTTTTTAACTGCTGGGCCACCCTCCTGCCATTTGTCTTAACATGTGTTAAGTTCTTAACAGGTTGTATCTTAACAGGTATTAGGTTTTATTTTTTTATGACTGTCCTGTCTGAGGACACCAGTCTTAATTACTTATAAAGACTAAAGGGAAATATAACTACCTTAATAATAATAATAATAATAATAATGATAATAATCTTTATTTGACTTTCACACAGGGCAGCAAATTAAAAGCAAAATCAATTTACAGCGTGTAAGCATTTGCTATACTTAAATCAGCCTATAGTGTCTGACACATTTGTGCATTACTCTTACCACTTATCAACCTACTTATAGGACTTCCATTATAGATAGAGAATATTGGCTCACTAATCGATGTCAGGCTCCGTATCAAGAGCTGCAGGCTGTAAAACATTTAATGTCTGGCTACCTGCTACGTTTTATAACCTGATCTCTGCAAACTGTGAGGTCAACAGTTTCAAAATCCAATCCTGATTTTAAGCAGAAATATTTTGCAGTCGGGGGTGAATGTCAGCTTCTTGCAGCTCCAGACGGTGACTGACAAATAATTGTGGAGGAGGTTTCAGAGAAACCCACTATCATATTTTACTGCCTGTAGAACAGTACAACCATGAACAAAGACAGAGAGGAGGGAAACACAGAAATATTGCTCTAGATAGATAAAGCTGAACATTGACCATGTTACTTAATCAAGACGACTCAAACTTCTGACATTCTGCAAGTTTGAACTTGCTGCCTCCTTTTCCATGAGCAGCCTTATCTGTGACCTGGACTCTATTTTAGGGACTTTTGGGAGAGTGATTATGCAAGTTGAGCCAAAATGGGATGTTCAACTTCTGTGAAGGGAGCTTTATCTTGAAGGGATGTACAAGGGAGTCAGCCAACTGTCTCCTGAGAATCCCTCCCTGAGGGGAAAAAGATGACAGACCTTTGACCCCAGTTAAACTTAGTGTCTCATTTGTTATGATAAAGCATGAATGCCTGGTGTGGACAGGAGAAGAGGGTCAGCAGCTCAAGGCTCCGGTTTCCGTCTACCCGCTGAAATCTCATTGTGCATTGCTTGTCTCTCGTGCCTTTGGAGACAACTTTGGGGTCATAAATATGCCATTTCCACTAACTGACACTTTTTTTTTTGTGTGGAAGTGCAGTGGCATTCTTTGTCTCCAGTCATAACTGTCATGCCAGCTGGAGACAAGGCAGGTATCCTGTGGCGACACATTGTTCAGACAGACCTGGAAAACAAAGCTGTCAGCAAGCATCTGGCTATTGTTTCACTTCAGACTCAGCAAGGATCTTCGCTTTATTGTTCGACTCAGCACATAAAGTCGGTGCCACATGCCGGGCATACCATGCATAAGCTTCATTCTGCAGCCCTCAAAAGGAAAAAATAAACTTCCTGAACCACTTGTGGCCATTGCTCCCTACTGTCTTCTTCCATATAAGGCACCAGTCTGTGGTCACACTTGTAGAGGGGACACCTTTGGGCAAATGCAAATTTTTTTTAGGAAAGCATAAGAGCTACACCAGCATGAGAGTGACACTTTTCTGTTTACTATGGGGGAGAGTTGTGTCTGAAGGGGGAACGCCTTGCAGCCTTATCGGCTCAGATCAGCAGGTTGCATGGGCCACGGGTCACTCCACTTGTAAACACAACTCGCTAACCCTCCCCTCTGAAGCCCAAAATGTAAGCTGAATATTTTTAGCACTGCTAACTGGAAAAGTAAGATGTAATCTCCTGTAGCAATTTTAGGCACAGTAGGAAACACACTTTTAGTTAATTGAAGTGTGAAATTTGCTTTTAAAAATATCACCTCAAAACAAGTTTGTACACAGATTTTTTTTTTCAACTTACTACATTACTTCAGTTATTGTTTAGTAAAAAAAAAGACAATATTATAATCTTAAAATCATTAGCATGTTTTCAGACTATATTTACAGCACAGCTCCAGCCAGAGTAAAGGAAGGATGTCCCACCAGGAAAAGAACACTCACTCAGTAAACACATCTCTGTTAGAGGACTGAACTGAACTTTATTTATCTTATTTCTCCTTTATAAACTGGTTCAACTGCTCATCAGCCAATAACAAGAGAATAAACACAAATGACTCAGATGAGCCATCGTGTCCCAGTTGTTACATCCGTGTCCTACACATAATAACAGAATATCCACACATATCAGTATACAGATATACCCCTCACCATCACCCATAATATATCAGTGTTGCATGTTTACTTTATCTTGATTGAAAAGTAGACCATAGGTGGAATGTGTGTAGTGCTGTGCTTAAGTAAACCTGAGGATAGATTGAACTGTACAGCTATAAAGTGCTAGTAAGTGGACAGCTAAACAGTTAACAGAAAACAGCTGCTTATACATATATAATCCAATCCAATAGTAACCCCAAAAGTCCATCATATTATATATACTACTATATATATTATATATATTATTATTATTATTATTATTATTATTTGATTATCTATTATTATATTAAAATAATATTTATAGGCCTAGTAAAATAAACACATAGACAAAACAATAGTCAAGGAAACCATTGGCCATCCTAAGTGAGCGCATTTTATATCGTGGAATAAGATAAATGAAGGAATTTCTTTAAATGACAGTATGTCAGTTGTTTATTTGTTTGTTTGATTGTACTCTTGATGCCCCATCAGAAAGATGAAGTGATATTTTGCAGGATGGTTTCATCACTCAGTCTGCCGAGCTGCAGCTGGCTCTCCCCTGTACTGCTCCCCGAGAGGCGGCGCCTACGTCCGCTTCACGACTGCTGATGTCACCGCTGGAAGTGCGTCCTTGCAGAGCAAACCTCCCACAGCGGCCCTATAAATACGCGCAGCCTCCGCTCTCCGGCACTCACTCAATCACCCAAGCCGAAAGCCGAAAGCCGCTCCGGCGAAGCAGTGCGCACCTAACAACTCATCCTCGGCGAGTTGGGGGGCCACACTTTGGACCAGAGCAACACGAGACATCCACCGGAGAAACAAAGAGACAAGATGTCGACCTACGTGTCCTCTGAGAGCCGCCGGGTCAGCCCTTCTGTCCACGGCAACAAGTTTGACACGGCGCACCGCAAGAAGGCCGTGGCCAACATCTTCGAGAACGTCAACCAGGACGCGCTGATGAGACTCTTCCAGAAAACGGGAGACATGAAGGCGGAGGAGAGGGTGAGGAGCATCTTCTCCTACACCCAGGACCCGGAGGAGACGGCCCGGGCTCTGATGGCTCTGAAGCAGCGAAAGAAGGACAAGTTCCTCCAGATCGCGGGCATGGTGCGACAGCTGCTCAACCTGCGATGACTGCGTTTCACCAGTCTTTAACTGCCTTTGTCTCTCTGTCGGCTCGTGTGTGAGCCGACTGTGAAAACACTCCCAATGCTGGGTTACAGCCGCAGGTGCGGCTCACCTATCGCCTGGAAGGGCGCGTCAGGCGCGGAGAGTGTGCAGCCAGCCGCCCGGAGGGCATCGTGAAGCAGCTGTGGCCTCGTGGACGGAGGTGACAGCGGAGAGTCCTCCCTGGAGCGGATGGAGCGAGATGAACTGACTGGGAATACAATGGGCATTCACGTCTTCCTTGAGACTTGAATTGATAAAGCGTTCCTGTGGATGCTGTGATGACTGTGAAGCAGTAGCTCGTGCGGCTACACATCACTGTGTTGATGCTCGTGCACAGCTGCGATATGAGACTTTTTAGTGCCGAAGAATCTGCCTACATGAATGCCTGTCCTGAACACATGCCTTGTCTCTCAGCTTCTCTTTGTTATATGAACACTGTTCATTAGTGGCCACTAATGTGTTACTGTCACAAAAATGATTTACATTTATAATGTTCCTGTCTTTGTCATTTTTAATAAATTATTGAATTGTATACAAAAGCTGCACCTTGTTTGTCCTTATTACATGTTTCATGTGGTTTTAATTTGTGCGGCATTAATGCTCTTATTGGTCAGTACATCAGGTCATATGAGGTTAATGCATCCTGTTTAGGTATGGCAGATACCTTATATTAATGGCATGTTAGGTTTAATCCTGGTTCTGGTAGTAGACAGTTAAAATGCATGGGATAGATAAACACTTAGGGTCACAGGTGTTGACCTTTATCATTTGAGGATTAGTGAGGTGTTAAACCATGAGGATAGGAAAAAATAGAAAGAACAAAAAGCCCATCTTCATGCATTTTAAGAAAAGATGACACAGTAGTGTAAATATATAGGCTAACAGTGACATCATCTAATTTTAGCATAAAATTTAACATGTTTTCAATAAAAATGATAAATCTGGATCCAAAATTAGATGTCTGGCCAACATTATCTTTAGCAATATGACACAAAATACATCTTTGCCATCTGCTATTGAACAGCTGTTAGTCTGTGTTAGTCATAAAGAGGGAAACCCCACGGATGAAACCTCCATGAAAAAAGGAAACCGATGTGTGTTCTTGTCTTGAACTTATGTCTGTGACATTAGTGTAAATGTCACAGCAGTGTTGAGTCATGTAATCTAGGATTAAGTTAATGTTTATTGATTTGTTAAAAAAAAAACCAACAAAAAAAGAGAGCGGCACATGGTGAGATCATTTCTGGCCGCATTGTTTTTCACTCTGATGCAGCAAAGGGCATTTGAAGGGAGCAGAGTTACTCATGAGAGGATGTGGTTAACCTTCACTGGGTTTCCCTGACAGTGCTGTAGGCGATGCCTCTCCAGACCGGCACGAACCAGTTTAGCTCAGGTTGGCCTGAGAGGGCGGGGGTGGCTTTCTCCTCGCAGCTTGTTTGCGTTGGAGTCTATTTAATCATGCCTGCTCTCTAGATAAGAGCCTGTCTAAGTAGCATTACAGGGTTTAGACCAGTAGAGGCTTTGCCTCCTTGCCTTCTGACTCTTTACCTTCAGGTAAAGGATAAATCATCCCCTCCATCACTACAACCATCTATTACATTTACACCCCATCTCAGACCATTTTGGTGTTTTTCACAGTAGTTCATCAGTGGGAGGGTGTGTACCCAGGCTTATAGCTAGAGACACACAGATCACTTCAGTAGATGCCTGCTAATCTGCTTGCTTTGATAGTCCCTCTACCGGCTCAAACCAGTTCCCTGGGTTGTTGTGCATGACGACATCTGACTGTAGGCGCTCCTCGCATGTGCTGAGAGATATGGGAAGCTCAAGTATCAGTCGCCCTAAGGTGCAGTTGTGAATAATCACTTGTGACTGGTAAAAGAAGTGTCTGTTTGCTGATGCCAGACACTAATTACTCCACGTCGCAGACAGTCAGATGCTGACGCTGTAATCCAACTATCATCTGTTATAACTTTCAAAGGGGAATTAGAAAGGGCTTTTCTGTACAGGGTAAATAACATTTAAGAAAAAGGGGAAAGTATAGAATAATCAAAGTAACTATATTCAAGATAGAGCTCGTCTATTTTCTTCATGTACACGACCGTTTACATCATTACATTTAATGGTTAAGAAATGACTTGTACTTTGAAGGTGTTTTACAGGTTTTATGATGCTGAGTGAAATTTTACTCATGAAATTTGTCATTGACAGATATTTAGTGGGCAATATAAATCACAATATGACAATGTGAAAGTGGTCACTCATATTGATGAACCTACAGAGGATTATCACCCAAATCTGCTTAACTTGGCTTAAAAGATTTATAGTGAATTTTGACTTCTTACTTGTTTGAACCAAAAACTCTCTCTGCTCTCTTAGTGTCATTTTCAGTTGTTCCTGGAAGCTGTTTTAAGCAAAAAAAAAACTACCTGCTCAGCTCCAGACAGCAGAGAGACACGGTTAGCAACCAGCCAGTGCAGTGGAGCATTTAGCAGTCCAAAAGCCAGATATTTTTTCTCAGGAGTTGGTAGAGACCCAAAGCAGAGCTAAAAGATTCATGGACGGACATTCACCAGGTGTGCAGATGGATGCAAAGTGCAAACGAATGATAATGTTGCGTACCGCTGGAAGCAAATGTTTGCTAACAAATTTGCCATTTAAAACAAAATGTTAGTGTCAGAACTTGTTTCTGCCGCCCACAAGTGGCCATAAAAATCAACTATCGGAGGTTTAAGTTATACCATTTTTTTGACATGACTCTTAATGGTATGAATTTAAAGAATACTGAAAGAAATAATTTTACATTTTGGCAAATGTGCTTATAAGGTTGCTCGGCCCTTAACTATTTGCTACGGTTCAGATTAGCACACTCGTATCTTTATGGTAAATATACTACCACCGGCAGCCAGTAAAAAAGCCAATAAAACAAAAGATGTTTACGTATTGATGGCAGGTGGATTTTGTTATTTTTGCTAGGCTAACTGTTTCTCCTTGTGTCCAGTGTTTATGCTAAGCTAAGATAACCAGCTGCTGTAGCTTAGTATTTAACATACAGCCATGAGAGTGGTATCAATCTTCTTATCTGCAACTCCCCCCAAGAAAGTGAATTTCTGTATTTTCCAATATGTCAATAGCTTTTCCTTCAAAAGAAAACAAGCCTCCAATACCATTAAATGTAATATCTTTTTGGTTTTTCTTTCATTTAAATCTTCAGCCAAGGTTACAAAGGTCACAGTTCACTCACCTTTTCATGCACAACTTTATCACAGTTTGTTAATCATGCTGTCTATTTTCGCTCTTTTATCTCGCAGCTGTCCCTTTTGTTTGGCTCGTGTAGCTCACACCAGGCTGCCTTTTTTTATTGGCCCCCTATTCGCTTTTAGGGCTATCCAATTGTTAAGGAAAAGAAAGCTAAATATTCAAGGCAATTGTCTTGGCTGTCTTTGCTGTGTTGGCAGTGGTGTGCAAGTGTTGAACCTGGGTCTGTGCTCTCCCACCCTCTTCCTGCCTTTCATCGGCCTTAGAAACGGTGAATGCTTTGATGTCAACAGACACTGTGGCAGACAGCGCTCGGGTCTGGAGGACAGTAACCGCAGAGAGAGGAAGATATAGGGTGGAGCTGTGTGCATGTGGACGAGGAGGCAGGGGCACAGTAAAGTTATATTGGGAGAATATAACAGATGGTATGTAAAACTTAACAACTTTTACTATGCATGATTGAAACCTATAAGAAAAATGTGAATAATAGTGTACAAAAAACACACCGAGACAATAAAGATTCATTTGTTGAAATGAAAATAAATTAAATAAATCAGATTAAAGAATATATAATGCTCAGAAATGAAATGGTCTTTTATTTCTATCCCTTAGTTTCGGATTTTTATATTTAGAAAATGTTAGAGGAGCTTTAATGAAGGCTGCTTGAGTCAGTATGTCTAATACAGAGTCTTTATGCTCTCCGTCTTCTGAGACACATGCATATTAATGACAGAATACACAGCCACAAAAGGATCTTGTTCAATCATTTCCCTGAACAAAGAGAAACGGCTGCAGTGTGGCTCCTCCTTATTTGGACGACCTGCTCCCTGAGAGGTGAAATATTAGTGCTGTTAGATCAAGAAAGAGAAAGAGGGAAGCGAATTGGAGAGGTGCTAGATTAGTGATTACGGCACAGGGAGTGGCAGTCAACCCGAATCCAGTGCAAACTGGTTCAAACCAAAGTCTGTGATGAGGAACTGAGCATGAGCTGTACACAGGCTTAGGATTAGTCAGTGTTCAGCTGGAAAATCCTGCCATAAAATCAACAGCCTTCACTGTAAGTCAATGTCGTGTTTGAAGTAGTGTGTGGGGCTGCGACACTTGGCCCGTCTAACAAAACTTAACAGAAGTTTATTCTTGATTCTATATTTAGTTTGTTTTTAATCGGAAATTGTGCCATTCTGCTAGCTCTTTCCTAACATGATTATATTCACATTCATCGCACGTAACAAAACAGAATATTCTCCATAATGTTTATTTTAGAGGAATAGAAGTGAAGGAGGTTACCGTCAGCCACCCACCAGCTGCTCTAGAATTTCATTGGAAACAGCTCCCACATTGTTTGGTTTGATTAATAGAGATGCTTGATTAGATTGTTATGGGTTTATGTTTAAAATGGATTTAGTTTTTTGGCAATGTCTATCAGTTGGAGAGTCCAGCATTTTTTAGTTTGTCTAAGCTGAAATATCCCAACAGTGATTTGATGGATTAACATGTAATTTTGTACAGGGATTCATGGTATAGTAGTAATCCTGCTGATGGTGATCCCATGACTTTTCATTTAGTGCCATCACGTCAAGGTCTTCCTTGACTTTGGTAGAATATCTCAACAAATAATTGATGAATGGCTACAAAATATTGTGCATACTCCAACTTTATGGGCATTTTGCCTTTATTATGACAGTGAAAGTGGAGACAGAGAGGAACGTCTGGGGAGAGAGAGGGGATGACATACAGCTACCTCGCTATACTTGTGGAAATGATGAATATTACCTGATAAATACATTAGCATTGCCACTGTGAGCATGTTAGCATGCTAATATAAGGATTTTGTTCAAAGCACCAAAGCAGCCCCTGAGTGCAGCTGTTGGTAGACTTAAGGTAGGAATTATGCTTCTGCACAGATAAACTTATATGTCCGTGTCAACCTACGCAATAAAGGCCGTCAGGTCTCAGAGGCTCACAGAGGAGCCAACATTCACACCTTCCAAATCTCAGCAGCACACAGCGCAGACCTGCGGATCAACCACACTGACTGGTTGATCCCTCATTCAATCAGAAAGTTCTCTCTCTTTTCTGTTTCACAAAGTTTGGGCATACATTTCAACATCATACTGCCACAAGTGATCTTTTAGCTGAGCAGAGGAAACTAAACCCCCCCCTGAAGTGACTCAGTACTGTTGTCTATCTTGTCATTGTCATGTCCATAAACGCTGATGAATCCAAATTCTTTCATGTTTGTTTCCTGGTGTCCTCTCTTCTTTCTTTACCTTGTGGTCTG